TATATATATATATATATATATATATATATATATATATATCATTAATGCATGTTTCATTAAATACTATCAACAAGTATTGTTTATTTATTTTAAGTAAGTTTCTTATCGAATCAATCAAGCATCTCAGACCTCAGGTCGAACATGTATAAAATCTCTGCTGGAGCTGCCCAATTTTCTCTTTCTAGCCTCGATTACCTTTCCCACAGACGCTTCTCTCTAGTTATTCCCATAGAGCTCCATGCCATAATCCTACATTTCATTCCTTTACAGCTACGACCCGCCATGACATGTTGACAGGGGAGACAATCCCCATTCATTTCATATTCTCTTCCCCGATAACTATAGACTTAACCTCTTCATATCTTGGGTTAACCGTTTTCTTTCCAGCATATACTCATAATCCATAATTCTTACCCCCCCCTCAAGCAACCCTCTTCATTAAACCTCTACTCAGTGTGGTTCATGGGACTTTATAGTTGCGTTTTCATAATAATCTTAATCATTAGATATTAGGGTAACTGTAAGTTTAGACGTATTTATTTCGTAAATCCGAGTCGTTATATATTCGGAGATTACGGAGGATTAAATTTTTAAATTGATTTATTAATTCCACGATGAAGTCACATTGACAGCTGATCTAAAAAATGACCCATATTTTGTTGTTAAATGGAGCAAGATACAGCTTGTTAATTTTAACGGCTCCAAAACAAAACTGCTCTCTGTTAATGGTCTGAGAGAAGCCTTTCTGTCATCCATCGGCGTGGCTGGTGCTAGCCTTTAGAAGAATGACTCGTTACGCCTTCTCGGGTAACGTTTTCTACTGACATGAAATAGAAAGATTATTTCGAATTGATTGCTATGCCTGCTGCTAGGAAAGGTGGTTCTAGAAAGTTGATCCCGCTAGACAACATTTCTCGGCAAAATTTATCTTACATATTTACACGTCTGCCATTCGTCCATATACTGAATATTGCTGCCACATATTGTCTGGTATGTACTGTATCCCTTCAGGACGTAGTCGATCACGCTCCTCTACATCTTCCTCTCGCTTGTAGCTGTTAATAAGATTTGTCTTTTTCTTGTCTCCCAAACCCTGTTTTTGCCATACATTTACTCAAGCCCCTGTCCCACATTTCCTATATGCGCCCTGTGAGTATCAGATTCTCCAAGCCCTCCTTCCGCGTTAGGTGTCGCAGTAATTTCAACTGCCTCTTCCAGATGTTAAGTAAACGTTTCCTTTTTGATTCCCTTTTCTCCATAACCTCGTCGTTGTTCACATTTTCGGTCCAAGGCATCCTCAGCATCCTTGTGTAGAACAACATTTCTCTTGCTTCGAGTCTCTTCCTCATCTTTGAGGAGATTGCCCAGAATTCGGTACCATACTGGAGGAAAGATATCACTAATCTTTTCTTTGTTTGCAACGAAAGAGAACCTAAATAAAAAAAAAAACAAAAAAAAAAAAAACAAAGAATAATTTATTATTGGTCCTGATCTGCCAATACTATTTCATTCACTTTCGCACCGCCGTAATGAAGGTTACGTATGTCCTTTCTGTAATTACTTTCATGGTAAATATTCTCATCCTTTTACAGTTGAAATGGCTGGATATAAGCTTAAATTCTATGCAAACAGCTTCTTTTGTTCCATTTCTCACCGTGGAAGTCTCTCCTGTCTTTTTGTTTTCCAGTTAAATTTGATCTTCAAAAATTGAAATTCAATGTCAATTGTTATCTCTTCTTCCGTCCTCTGAAATTATGTTCAATTTCTCTTCTCGCTCCTTAATTTTTTTTGTATTCATTCAGACTCATTAGTCCCCTGCGCCTTATTGATTAATATATATATATATAATTTTAAGGAGGCACGGTGGAGTAATGGATAGCAGCTCGAATTGAGGAATCAGAGAGCCTAGTTCGAATTCCAGCCGAATCCGTTACCTTCACTTACGTGCTAATAACCTTGGGAAATGTATGAATCCTCTTCTCCTTTCAGTAAATAGCGGGGCAGAAGGGGTTCTATAGCCTTGGGTGGCAAATGATCTAAGAGAAGAAAACTCTGAATTTAAATCCTGCGGAGGGTTGTTTGCTAGGTCTCTGTATTCGGCCCTTCAATAAGTTTGAATGGTTCTGCGCAAAACCTTCACTACTATAATCAAGTCAGGAACTGAGCTTCTTCACCCTCATACGTCGAATACGACGGGAGAGTCGAATATATATATATATATATATATATATATATATATATATATATATAAATCCTAGTGAGCCAGAAAATACCTACCTAGGTTTCACCTAAATGGATCTTCAGGGCGAAGTGAGCCAGCTGGCCTTGAAGATCAATTTAGGTAGGTAGTTTCTAGCTCACTAGAATTTTTATGCTCTACTTAGTGTTTGAGCACTTTACAATTTTTCTTTTTTTTCTCGATTGTTTTTTTTTTTTTCGGTTTTGGGCAATTTCTTTGATCTACTCGGATATATTAACCTTTTGTTTTTTTTCAAAATTTTTTTTCCCCAGATAGCAGCTTATTTAGATATATTAATATTTTCAAATTGTACCATCCCTTTTTTCCCCTTACCAGTTGAGTATAGGTTTTAAAATAAACATATATATTTATATATATATATATATATATATATATATATGCAAACATTAGAGGGGATAAAAGTGTTGACGAATTTCATTTATAAAATCCTACACGTTGTTAATGGAATCACGAGAGATTGACGTATCTAGTTGAAAATGATTTACGTTTTATATGCATTACATATTTATTCACAAATGTGGATCTCTTCTACTGCTATGGATGATAAGCAATTATTTTTGAATATTGATAAAACATATCAGTGTAAGATAAAAAGTATTGAGTACCAATTTCTAATGTTTCCTCAAAATAAATTTGAAAAATTTCCCCCTGATAAATTGAAGTGAAATATATTATAGGCAGTAATATGTTGAATAGTTTCACTCTTCCATACTAATATAAAAATTAATACATAGAGATTAAATATCTGTGACGATATAGGTAAAGAGGTGGTGTAAATATTCCAGTGTCGCAGCGAATGGTACTGTCTTTGTCACTATCTAACAAAATAAATTATTTTGAATTGTCGGTAAGTTGACGCATTACTTTTGGAAAAAAAAAACAAACCTTGAAACGAACTGGGACGATCCAAGAATGTCAATCGTTTGTTTGTGTGTGTGTGTGTGTGGAGATACATATTATAGAAATGAAAACAATTAATCGAAACTAAAAAGAAAAAAAAGAGAAAAGTTAAATTACTTCATAGGACAAATAGAAATAAAAAAAAATACAAATTGTCCCCAAATATTAAGTGCATGACCGAGGATGTAAAAGGGGTGTCCGGAAAAAACTAAAATAAGGGGGAATTAATAATAATATACACGCACATAATATATATAGGAGGCACGGTGGAGTAATGGATAGCGGCTTGGACTGAGGAATCGCAGAGCCGAGTTCCAATTCCGGTCGAATTCATTACATTCACTTACGTGCTAATACCCTTGGGAAAGGTATGAATCCTCTTCCTCTCCCTCCAGCTATGGGTAAAATAGCAGGGCAGACTGGGTTCTATAGCCTTGGATGGCAACTGGTCTAGGAGAAGGACAACTCTGAATTCAAAACCTGCGGAAAAAAAAGTGTGGATGGTCCTGCACGAAACCTTCACCACTATGCCGGTGTCGGGCTGATCTGCTTGACCCTCATACGTCGAATCTCGACGGGAGATACTATATATATATATATATATATATATATATATATATATATATATATATATATATATATATATATATATATATATATATATATATTATATGTGTGCACGTGTGCACACACATACAAATATATGACAGTAGTAGTCGGACTTTATACACCGGAAAGGTTATTCTTTGTTTAGAAAAGCTCTGACACATAGTATAGTGTTGCTTACATGGCAGACGGTTTTTAAGAGCTGCTGACATATATATATATATATATATATATATATATATATATGATGGAAATTAGGAGGATTTGAGATAATTATAATTAAGTAATTCATCGAGTGTAGAAGAAACCTCAACAGAATGTATAAGGCACCGGACGGTTGCTTCGTTCTTTATTTGGGACACATCATTCGCTATCACTTCGTCACCGAGGCTCGTTGGAACAGTTGAAACGACGTTTGCCTGATAACGTAACTGTCTGGGTTTCAATACCTCAGTAGCGGATGCACACTGCTGATGAGTCCCAAATGTAAGACGAAACGCCCGTCCAGTGCATTCTGTTGAGGTTTTTCTAGACCCGATGAATTACTTAATTTTATATATATATATATATAATTCAAAAAAAAAAGGATTGCGTTATTCAGCTAGTTGTTTGTATGTTAATGCTTTATTAAATCTCTTAGCGTAGTGAATTCGCCATTAAATACATCAACTTTACTGATTTACTCTTTATATGACTGCTTTATAATATTAATTATAGTGCACCACTTAATCCCTCTCTCTACCTCTCTCTCTCTCTCTCTGTATATATATATATATATGTGTGTGTGTGTGTGTGTGTGTCGTGAGTGTATGTGTGTGTTTGTGTGTGGAGCGTGGGTGTGTAGTAAATATATTGAGTCTAATTAAAAAAAAACCGTTGTTCAAGGATAAACATCTTCAAGTTGAAATTTACGAGGTTGTCGGACCTGTTCGTTCTCTAAGGCCCCATTTGTAATTCTTAATGATAATGTTCCTGTACGGACTATTCTTTGTTTGTTGGTTACTGTGCACCATCAACTGACAGAGTCGCTACAACCAGTAATTGAATGTATATGATAATTTCTATCAAAGTTTTATTTTCAATTGGCAACTTTACGTAGAACTCTCCGTTTCGTTCTGACAAGTTTATGTGCGCCTTTGACACGGGCAGTTTATTCTACTTAATTATTCTTTGCACCGATGGTCTTTATCGAAGTTGTTTATCTTCCCCTAACATTCCCGAAGCCATCCGCCTACCGCCATATCACGTAGAAACATTGGTTCTCGGACGATCACCGAAGTTAAGCAACGTCGAGCTTGGTCTATCTAGATGGATGACTACTTGGGAATACCAGGTGCTGTAAGCTTCGATTTGCGCTTGATGTAACTAAAAATGGCTCGGAATTGCTACTCTGAGAGTAGAGTTTCAATTCCTGCTGGATTCGTATTTTCATTTACGTGCAAATAGCCCTGAGAAAGGTACGCATCCTTCTCATCTCCCACCAGCTATGGGTTAATTAGTAAGAGTTGCAACAGTAAAATATTATTATCTAAAAACATGGAAACAAACTTACATCTTTATAAATAAAATTTATTAAGGCGAAAAGCAGACATAGAAAAAAACACTTATGACAGATCTAGGATATTTCTTATGAGACAAATGATCTGGGCTGACTCTGAATACTATTAATACCATATATCAGGAAGACTTCTACTAATACTACTACAATTGATTATTATTAACACTATTAGCTTATGGTCACATTACGTTGAAACAACGGTTCTTGAACGATCACCGAAGTTAAGCAACGTCAAGCCTGGTCAGTACCTGGATGGATCACTTCTTGGGAATACCAAGTGCTGTAAGCGTGGGTGGTATAATGGCTCGGAATTTGTGATCAGAATTCTGAAGTTTAGGTTCAGGTTAGGTTCGTTATATTCACACATATGTGCAAACGGTGAGGGGGATATGAATACCCTTCTTCTCTCCCCAAGTTATGGGTTAATTAGTGGGATTTTGACAGTAAAGTAGTATTATCGTCCCCAAAAGCCTTGCAATTAAAAATGTTCTGGTTTGAAACAACCTGAAGAAGATTGACTGACTGTAAAAAACAGATCAATCAATCTAACAGTCCTGAAGCCAGCATTGTTGAATTCACATTATGTGTCCATATACATGTTGAATTGGGTTTCAATAAAATTATATACAGAGAAATTGATGGGCAGTTGGATCAATCGATGGCAAGAGATTTTGTGTGATTTTGCCAGCAACATTTATTTGCTCGTATTTAATGATCTGATCACACCTTTAGAGTCAACTAAATAAATTTTATCTATAAAAATAAGCTATCAGTAGAAAATATATTAAATAATTATCGGACTGAATCCATTTCATTATATGTTGTCATTGTTTACGTTAAGATATGTTTCGTGAGCAGAAATGGTCAATGGATAAAAAATTATAGATTGTAAATATAATTAATACTGTTTAATTAAAACAAACAATTTACTTAAATAAACAGTATATATAAAATAACGTATAAGCAGAAATATATTAATTAATTATCGGACTTCATTTCATTATATATATATATATATATATATATATATATATATATATATATATATATATATATATATATATATCACTTGCTGTTTCTTTCTTAAGATATGTTGTTTATTTTGGAATATATTGGATTATTTTCCATGTTCTCAGTGAAAATTTAAATATAAATTCTTGAATGTTTCGGTATTACTTAAGCCTTTATGAAAGAGTTTTCATAATATGACTACATGCATTACTGTTCATTATCTTGCGCTATTTCATTATCGTCTATTTTTAAGTATCGCGTCTTCACATGTCATGTTAACATTTTTTTTTCAGGTCAGTTCGCAATTTTGACTCTTTTCGTTTAGTCGTGGAATATATTTTATTTGTTCAGTTCAAAATGTCATAAATACATATTCGATAAAATCTAAACTTTTTGCTTATCTATGTCATTATTAGTTACGTTACGTGAGAGATTACAATCTAAAGGCATATCTAAACAAGGAAAGAAGGATACAGTTTGATAGCACTCATACAAAAAAGCAAAAACACTTTGTAAAAGCTTACAGAAGATGTTAGACTGGTTTTACACACTTTGTGCAAATTAATTGAAACAAAATAATATTTCCGTTATTATTTATATTTTCTCATTTTTTCAATCAAAGTTGACCCAGTGCACATGTTAGGACTTCGTATGTCCATTCCGCAGAGTGGTTCCTTGCACACTGATGACAGTTTGGATTTAAATAAGGGGAGATTCCGGTCCAGTCTATAGTATTTCCTTGCTCACTGGTAAGGCTTGCCAATGTGTTCGTGCAGCGTTACAATTTTCGTAACCTTACTTGGAGCAAACTCTATAGCAGACAATGGCCGTAGGACAACTAATCAACAGTCGAGACAATAGCGTTTGGGTGTAATAAAATCTGATGCAACTACGGATGACGCAATATTTTTAAGGTTAAAAACAAACTTCAACCTACACACCGGGAATAGACTCATATTTCTGCACGCCTAAACTGAGGAAAAATAGAAATGGATTACACCATGTCACTCAGTGGGTCTAAAACTGACCGTATGTCGAAAGAAAGGAAACTAAAGTGGTTGTTTAAATTAATTTGCACGAGGGTGTATATATGATGGAATGAGTGGACTCACTGGGTAATGACAACGATCGGGGCCACCCCTCGAAGGCATATGTTGTGTAAAATTCAACGAGGAAATCTTAAGCGAGGCCAAAGAAATAATGTTCTACAGAAGGACAGTGAGAATTCCATGAACGAAACAAATAAGCAATGATGAAATCATAAAGAAAATGATAAGAAAAAGAACACATAAGAAAGTGACAGTAGAAATAACTCGAACACATAATAAGGAAGGAAGGCATGGAAAATGTAACCCTCACAGGACAAAAGAGATGGAGTAAGGCAACGGGTCACCTACATGACGAGCTTATGTGAATGGATAGCGGAACCTGAGATTGGCAAAAGGGGGAAACGCTGCTAAGGACCACCCGTCACTCCAGTGGGTCTAAAACTGACCGCTAATAAAGAATACGCGTCACTCCAGTGTGTCTAAAAGTGAGCGTATGGTGAAAGAAAAGAAACTAAAGCGGGTATTTCAATTAATTTGCACGAAGGTGTATATATGATAGAATGAGTGGACTCGCTAGGTACTGATGGCGATGGGAGCCTTCCCTCGAAGTAATTTTGTTGTGTAAATTTCAATGTTGGTTCCTGCAATCACATCAGTCAACGAATTCTACAGATTGCACGGAAATGAGTTTTGTAGTTACAATCAATGAAACCAATATTTAAGATTTTTAACCAGAGAACTTCAAAATTAGAGCCAGGAAAACCAGTAGAAATATCTTGAACGCATAATGAGGAAGGAAGGTTTGGAAAATATAACACTCGCATGACAAAATAGATAGAGTAAGGTAACGGGTCACCTACATGACGAGCATCTGAATGGATAGCCGAATCTGAGATTGGCAAAGGAAGAAACGCTGCTAAGGACCACGCGTGGTAGATTGTTGTGGAGAGCCATAAACACTCTCAGTTCTGAAGACACAAGGTACAAAGAAGATATTAAGAGGTCATTTTTTCATTTACAAAAACAAGATACTAATTTTCAAGCATCAGTCTGAATTTTCATTCACTGAATATCTTTCAAAAACGATTGTAACTTTTCCCAAACCTAAGGTTGCGTTTTATATTGTCAAAAAGCAAAAAAACCCCAAAAAACAAAAACAAAAAACAAAAACAAAAAAAAAAAAACTAAAAAAACATTTAGATTAAATACATATTTTTATGCATCATGCATACTTTAAATGAAATATATTTGTCGAAAGAACATTTTTTGTTTTCAGAATTAACATTTTTAATCTGTTTGCTGATATCCAAGTAAAACGGAAATGTGTAAATTAAAATTTGAAATGTAAATCTCTATCTTATCTACCAAAGTTTCCCACAGGAAACGTTTATCATATTTTCATGACTTAAAAAAAACAAAAGTAAAACACAAGCTACGTTATGGATCCACCTAGAAAAACGGAAAACTTTATGTTATGTATACAATTATTTATTTCGTATTATATTTGCCATCCATATAATATCTCATTACATAATTTTTCTATTGGACAGACATAACTAAGATGGTAGTCCATCGATACTACGATGACCGCCATATTTTTAAAATTGTATTACTATTACTCATCTTGCTATGGATTGCTGGTATCTCTTTAGTGACTTCAGAACTCTCTAGCAATGGAGTCAACCGAAGAATATTCTCAGTACTTCCTATCGGGTAGGTCCCTGAAGGTAGTTGTTAATGGCGAGTCCTCCGAGTTCCAGGCGATAAACGCAGGCATCGACCAAGGTTCGCTTCTCGGTCCAACCCTCTTCCCCATCGACATGCGTAATAGATCTGCCTGATCAATGTTCGATCATTTGGGAATATCTATGTAGATGATCCAAAGGTATATGGTTGCACCTCCAAAACTCTCTATGACCAGAGTTTAGCAGCAGATCTCTCCTCTGAACGAGCTCTTACAGCTCAGTGGCAAAAAACTGGCTGGTCACATTTAGTTCTTCAAAGATCAAACTAGTGAACTTCTACTATCGCCGATCAAACCCAGATCATTTATCATACGTGACGAATGGATGTTCCCATAGGCGCCTATTGGGATTTAATCTCCACCCAGATCTCAAGAACATACGAGGCATTGATAAAGATTTAGGGAGAATAGTCGGTTCTCTGTACTGCCCCAGCCTGGTCCTCAATCATTCTGCTATCATCTGCATTATTTGCCGCTATATATGACCGGGAGACGCTCAGGCTTCACTCTTCATTCGCAATAGAGTTCAAAAGCGTCCTCTACATCTCCTTTCTCACAGGCTGCTCTATTGCTATTTCCATGGAGGGTGTTAAGCTGGGCTACACGAGGGGTTCAACCTGTCCTAACCTTCATGGATAAAACACGTCGTGACACAAAATTGGTAGCGAACCACACACATCCATTCCTATTCTCCAGTTGAGATGCAAACGGATAGGTTTTGGGAACTTGCTTCTTAGAGATGAACGTAAACAACCACATTTGACCATATCTTTGAAAAGCCTGGAATTGGGGGAGTCAAGAAAGGCAAAAGGTGAATTAAGGATCTGCAAAAATATTTCCCGGGCAACGCCCTCCCACTAAAGCAATTATTTTAAAATTTCAAAACTGAGCCAAGAAATACATAAAAATTGGTTTGTCTAAAGTAATTTTCACAGACGAAACTCGATCAGATGGATCAACCAAAGGATGGATTTTATCAAATTCAGACTCGCCTGTGACTAAAAGAAGCCAACAATGAAGCGGTAGTGTTATGATATGGGCTGGAATTATTGTACCATTCATAGTCGAGGAAGTAGTTAAACTGGATAGTTCTGTTATGATTTTATGAACAAGATTTTCTTTGCATGGTAAAAGTCTCAATCTAGCAGCTTCAGAATGAAATAGGTATTTGTGCACGACAATGCTCCTTCTCATGTCACTAAGCTTATCCGTGAATTCTTTGAGCATAAAAGATTTACAGGAGATAAGATAATGAAATGTCTACCATCAAGTTCTGATCTGAATCCGATCGAAAATCTATGGTCAATAGTGACGATGAAATTATATGAATGTAGTAAACAATATAAGAGCAAAACAGACCTATGAAGAGCAATTAAAACTACCATGTCGAAAATTGAACCTGCTGAAGTAAAAAAAAAAAAGAAAAAGAAAATGAATGGATAATAGATTACAGATTGTTATTGAGAAGAATGGTCGCTATATTAAAATGCAAAGGATTCCAAGTTTTATCAGAAGTGTTTGTTATTTGTTCTATTATAGATCAGTTTTTGAGGATTTTATTACCTTTTTTTATAGAATTAATATGTGATGATTTTTTTTGACTAATAAAATCAGACGGCAGTTTTTTTTAAACAAACTTCAGTAAAACATATTGATACTACCTAAAATTTTATCTCAGGTTTTAATTTTAACATTTAAATTGTTTAAAACTTGACAATTTTTTCAAACAAAATTTGAATTATTATAGTTTATATGATTTGTTTAATAACTTCAGAGAGAGTGTAGTTCTGCTAATGATAATCCCAACGTCTCGTCAGAAGCAAAATATGAATTATCTTATGAATAAATGTTTGTGTCAAGTTATAAAATTTGTAAATCATTGTTGTTCCTGAAAACTGCGAATAAATGAATATTTCTATCCTTCAACCGACAGAATAGCTCTCTAAAATGTTTTTACTGGACTAGACATTAAATATATCGTATTCTTCTCTAAGTGCCGTGTGCCTTCACGACGTAGGTGATCATGGCTCTCCACAATTTCCTGACCTTAGTAGCTCTTAATAATTGTTGTCTTTTTGCTATATTTCTTAAATCCTGTTCCAGCACCATTCACTCAAGCTTACTAAGTATGTTATACGTTGTTTTCTTCTGTCCTTCTTGTCTACGATCTATCGTCTGAGTATTAGATTTTCCAAGCCCTCTTTCCTCATTATGTACCCTAGAAATTTCAACTGTCTCTTCGTGATGATAAGGATGAGTTTTATTTTAGTATCTATATTCTCTAAGACTTTGTTGTTCCTCGTATTTCGGTCCATGGTATCCTCAGCATCCTTCTGTGAAACCACATTGCTTCAAGTCTCTTCTTCATCTTTGAGGATGTTCTAGCATTTGCTTTCATATAGGAGGCTAGATATCAGATAGCATTTCAGTATTTTTATTTATTTTTTTCTAACGAATTTTTTTTTCAGTTTTTTGATACTCTGCTTAGCTTTTCGAAAGCATCTTTCGCTATCCCGATGCGATTTCGGATTTCAGTGTCGCTCTTTTCGGTTATTTAAAATGCTGGAGTTGGTTGATTTTGATATCTCCGATTTGTAATTTGCATTTTGGACTCTCCCTTTTGCTAACACCCATCCATTCTGTCCTCTTGCAGTAGAGAGAACTGTAAATATCGAGCAGACGAAGCTTCGCTAGCCTAGGACTTCTTTTTTTTATGTGCCATGTCAATTCACGGGGTAGACGATCATGGCTCTCCACCTCCCTCTATCCTTTGATACTCTCAACAAGTTCCTGCCCTCTGCTATGTCTCCCAGACCACGTTCTGTCATCCACCTTAAAGCCCGCCAGGAATGTCACGCGTTGCTTTCTCTTGTCTCTCTTCCCCTCTATTCGACCCTCATGGACCTCCTTCCTCATTATGTGTCCCAGAAACTTCAGCTGCCAATACCTGATGTTAAGCATGAGCCTCCTCCTTGTCTGCATCCTCTCCAAGACCTCATCGTTGCTCACACACTCGATCCACGAAATCCTCAACACCCTTCTGCAGAACCACATCTCCATCGCCTCGAGTCTTTTCTTCATCCTTGAGGAAAGTCGTCCGGCATTCGCTGCCGTAAAGTTTCAAAATATGTTATAATTTACTACTACGTCCGCGCAATTTACATTAAAAAAAATTGTGTTAGTGTTCTTTCTTTATTTCAACTTTTCATGGTCAAGTCTATCCCACCTCTACTTTGTATCTATGAATTTAAATTTTTTTGTGGCTTTTGTTTTCCTTTTTCCTGATGGCAACTTCATTTAACAACATTCTATCATCTGATCGTTTTTAGAAGTTTATGATGTAAACTTTTGTGGATAATATAACATACTTTTCATGATTGGTTTCGTTGTTTGAACAGCAAACTTTTTGCTAAATATAAAATGTTTTATTGTGAGTTTTTTCTTAACATTTGCACCTGCTTATTCATATTCTTCGTTTTAACAATTTTCTTCTTTTTTTTTTTTTGCAAATATGAGTGCTTAATATTTTAATGCCATTTGCTTATACAGCTATTTTCTCTAAACATTTTGTTATTGGCAAATATTGCCAGATTGATATTGTATTTCTGTTCTGAGCACATCTCTGTATTGGGATTATATTTTTCTCTTTGTTCTTCTTATTCCAGCTACATCACCTTGAAACGTCGGTTCCTTTACGATCACCGAAGTTAAGCAACGTCGAGCCTGGTCAATAGCTAGATGGGTGACCGCTTGAGTATGCCAGGCGCTGTAAGCTAGGATGCTGCGGTCGGTCTAATGGATCAAGGCTTGGAATAGTTAATCGGCGAGCCGAGTGTCAATACCCGTTGGGTTTGTTATATTCTCTTACGCGCCAATACCTTTGCAAAAGCAATGAATCCACTTATTCCCCCCCTGCAGCTATAGGTTAATTAATGATACTTATACTACTAAGCCATTATTATCTCCAAAACATTCGTACAATATAAATCTATATTCTGGCTTTAAATAATCAGCAAAAGGGTTGATATATCGTAGAAAACGAATTATTGAATCAATCTATTTTCTTGTCTTTTCAGAGCATGCGCGATTATATGTCTATGCAAATTCATATTATTTGTAGCTATTAGTAATGTTTGTCTTTTCGCCATCTTTCCCTTTCAATGCCTAGATTATTCGCTACTTTTCTTTATCCTTCTTGTCCTGTGAAGCCTTCTCTTCACAGCTAATGCCTGAGAAATTTCAACTGTCTCTTTCTAATACAAAGTACAAATGTCATTTTTGTTTCCATTTTCCCTAAAACTTCACACGTTCTGTCCATGGTATTCTCAGCATCCTTCTGTAGAACAGCATTTCTGTTGCTCCCAATTTATTCATTTGAAGAAGATTCTGAAGCATTCACTCTCATATAGGAGGCCTAATATTACATTGCAGTTTAGCATACCGTTTGACTTTCTATGGAAATTTTCCCGTTTATTAATACTTTGTTTAACTTTAAATACTTTAAATATTTAACTATTCCAAATAGTCTTCGGATTTCGGTGTCATAATTTCCACCGTGTATTAAAACACTTCCTAGATATTTAAATATGAGTAGCTGGTTGATTATGGCATCTTCAGTTCGTAGTTTGTATTTTGCACCTTTCCTCTTGCTGAAAACCATATACTTTGTCTCCTTGCAGATTTTTTTAATAAGTTTTCTTTCCTGTGTTCTTTATAAGTTTCTGTAGCTTCCATTCTGTTTCTGCTATCAGCACAATGTTATTAGCATGTTTCATGTTTTTAAAATTGTGTACGCCAATAATGAATCCTGGTAGGACTTCTAGTTCTCTCGGGATCAACTAGCTGTCACGTTTGTACCTTGTGAGAAGACACATTTTTGTATTTTTACTAGATTCTTTTTATATTCATATATAGTTTGTAGTTATAAAATCCCTTTCCCAGTTCAGAAGTTTTACTAACTATAAGCTGAAATCCTCTAGTGGATATTGCTTTTTGATTACAGCATTAGTTTGTACTAATAGTCAAGATTGATGTTTGCGTGATGATATCGATAGGTCATTGGTTAAAAAATAATTATTAGATTGCAGTCATTTCATTATAAATATTTATGATTTCTATTTATGTCAAAAGGTGAGTCAATGTTATCGTACAGTGTCAAAAATTGTCTGATCCCTACTGCCATGCTCAATTTTGTGTCAGATATAACCTCCCATGATGTTGCCATATCTGAACCGGGGAGTCTAAAAAGCATTTACGCCATCTTTGTAGGTGACGAATTGTTTCCTATCCAACAGACAATTTCCACCCAGACGAAACGTCGTTAGCCTATCACTATTCCATTTGTATTTCCATTAAAAATGTTCTGTTGAGCTACTAGTTCAAAACTTAAAGCTAACACCCGCCATTGCATATATAGGCGTGGGAGCGAACCATCTTCATTCTATTTTTATCACATTAATAGGAAAGAAGTCCCATTCGGACGTCTTCTTCTCAAGAGCTGAAGGTTTGTGATTTGAAGGTTTGTGATACAGACTCATAAGCGGAAGCTTACCCAGTCATTACAATATTACTCTCTTCAATCAACTCTTATTGATCCCACATATCCTCATGATATAGAATTCTTAACACCTCCATTTACCGGTCTTTATTTCTGAGATGAAGTATTATGTACATTATTTACATTATTCGGACTACTGTCCTCATCTTTGTCGCCATATTTATTACAACGTTTCGGCCGTTGTACGCTCCGGCCTTCTTCAGGGGGTTGGAATGTCGAACTGAACCCTTTATTTCGCTCACTGGTGTAGACTGTTCTAGTTCCACGTGCCATGTTTAATGGATGTAAGTTGTCAGTTATCTTCTGTCAATTCCTCTCTTAAGGACACATGGCACAGTGGATAAAGGCGTCAGTTATATCCAGTGACAGGACCCAAAATGTGTGAGTTCAATACCCAGTTAAGGCAGTGGAGAACTTTCAGAGGGAAAATTTGTTTATTGCATGTAAAGAAGTAATCTGGTCCCGCAGTTATTAGCCCAATCTTGTTTTAAGCATCTAAGAAGATCTATTTTTTAAATAGTTTATTAAATATATTCGTTCGTCTTTTTGTGGTGTTTAGCGAATGATTTTGAAGAATAATCTTTTGTGGAATTTTTATTTCTTATAACTCTGATGAAAGTTCTTCTATGGTATCTAAACTTTATGAATTATAGTGCGGTACTAGATTGGCGGTAAGGTCTCATCATTTTACATTTGAAATGGCTGGCTGTAACAGTATATTCTATATTAACAGTTTTTCCTATCGCACTTCTCGCTTGTGGTAAGCACTTCCGGCCTCTTGTTTCCCAGTCAACTGTGAATTTCAAAGAATTTAAGTGCAATGTCAATTGTTATCTTCTGTCTTCGTAATTTTGTAATTTTATTGTTCTCCCTCCTTAACAGTGTATTTTTCTCGTATTCTATAAACCCAATAGACCCCTCCTTGCGTCTTAGTGGCTTTAATGCCTTGCATGGGACGAAATGATTAAAAAAAATCATCCTGAGAAACTGTTGTCTAATTTTATTGAGAGTAGTTTTAAGATTAAACAACTCCTTTGAGATGGAAGGCCAAGTAGGCAAGGATGAGCGTCTGTGACTTCTTTTGGCTTTTAATCAAGCTCTCAAATCTGCGAAAACTGCTCGAGACATTTGTACTGTGAAATGCTTCAAAACAACCAACCGATCAATGCTAAGATGTATGTTCAACAAATGAACAGACTCAAAGATGCATCTCAGCTGAAAAGACCAGACCGGCGATAGCTTGTCATTATTCAATATGAGAATATTCACCCCACGTCGTTAACATAACGAAACATACAATTAAAGAGCTCAGGTTGGGAGGTTCTGCAACACCAACCATATTCTCTTGGTTAAGCCCCTTCAGGTTACCACCCTTTTCGATCGCCTGCTAACAATTTGAGGGGTGTTTCATTCAACAACGTTGTAGAAATTAAAAAGTTTGCTTGCTGAAATTTTCGAGTCAAAATCTAGTAATTTCTATCGTCGAGGCATTCATCATGTAATGGATCGTTGGCAGGAGGTCGTAAACAATGAAGGAAAATATATTGTTGAATGATTCATCAGAACTATGAAAAAATGATAAGTATTAAAACGAACAACAACAACAAACACAAACGAACAAATTTATTTAACAAATTAAATAGCTCTGCCAATAAATTTTTGTATCCAAATATCTAAGCAAAAGTGTTACTATACTTCTATCTGGATGCGTATTTATTTACAGGTCGACAGCGTTCATCCTAATGCTGGTTTTATTGAGCGTTTGCTGCCGGGTTTAAATTCATTCGTTACTATACACACACATAACGTATAATAAATAGGTTTCACGAGGCTTTATCCTAATTATATATTGCGTTAGCAAGGACAAGTCAACCTCAAAGTATCAGTGATTTTCAAAGCGTACCCTGAGAAATATTATTCTTTAAAACGAAGCTAAAATAAAAAGACAAATTTAAAAAAAAACAAAACAGCATAAATTACTTTGCACTTTTACGTGTTGTTGGTTAGTTTCACACTCGCATAAAATGGTGCGTTTGTTTGCGTACATGCGTGTGTATGTGTTGACACTTATACTATGTGGGTTAAGTAACTGCTCGTTAATATATAAATGTAAAAAATACACACACATGCGCACGTACACAATTTAACGTATAAGGAGGTGATGAAAAAAAATCTTGTCCTAGATAGAAACCCTTTTCCAGTATTAAACTATGAAGGTCCAGAACTTAGTAGGTCATCTTTCCTTGGATCTAACCCAGGTGGCTAAGTGGAGCAAGAACTGATGTGTAAAATCCCTTTCGACCAAAGCCAAACAAGTAACGTTCCATCACCACCGAATAAACCCCGAATCAGAACGAATATGTGTTCTTTCAAGAAAGCTTGTCTTGAACGTCCATTGGGATTCAAACTCGCCACATATATCCCATCTATTTCCAGGGATGCTTGAAAATTGGTTGGTTCCTTATACCTTGTTTTATTCCTTGTAAGTAATTCCTTGTAAGTATCTGACGCCTTTACAAGAGTAAGATTAGACCAAAAATGGAGTGCAGTTGCCACATCTGGACTGGAGTTACCCGATCCACATTGATCTGTCTTGATAGATTTCAAAACATCTACGCGGCTTCTATAAATACCGTAGAGTCCCTGACAACCGGACTAAGAAGGCCTTCGGGATATGAGGAATTGTTACAAAATCCGGATATGAAGGATTATATTTAGATTAAAATAAAATAACTGAAAATCACGTTTAACAATTATTTTCAATGTTTTATAGTAAACAAAATCAGCTAATGGTGAGTGAAATATAACGGAATTGATTTTAAGGAAAAAGAAATAAATTATGTAATTTTAATGAAAATTTATTAAATTAAGTATGCCACGTATGCAAAACAAATAATGTAACGGGGATTTTTAATCGTTGTTGCATGATGATTCTTTCTCTTCTAATATCATTCTTAAATTTTCCGAATTTCGTTTTGCTTTTGTCCTTAAATTTTTTTAAACGAAATACACGTTTTAACTCTGCCTACGTTATTGCATTACTATAGCTGAATGCTGGCTTTCTTTCCATAACACTGACAACCTTTTCAATAGCTTTTTCGATTTCAGCCCAGGTTTCCTAACAATTATTTTTTTTTAATTCTTTGTTCATTGTGACAGTGTGAACACTTGAGAATATTTTCTTTGGAATATTCTCTATCATACAATGTTGACTTT